TTTTTTCTACTTTATCTATACAAATTACTTAGTACGGTTATTCCGAAGAGTCCACTTCGTGTGTTGTTAGACGCAAAGCACACCGCTGCCTGGTTCGGGGAAATCGAAGTTCGAAAGTGTTCACTGAACCTTGTGAACCTCGTTCACCCGACAATTCTGGCCTACACCCACAAAACCACCATTTTTACCTTATTTGTTGTTTACGGACGCTGCGATTATTCTTATACCGCCTTTTGTTTTGAGCTGAACGCGAAGCAGTACCTGTCGTGCGGTTCAATAGAGAAAGATTTTGTAATTTTGAATATCTTCCTTTTCACATCATCACCATCATCAATTTCCTGCTCGTGTTTCAATGTCCTTAACCAGTTGGTTGCTCGTGATGTTTACTTTTTCACTCTTAGGAAAGCAGCATCATTTGTCTGGACTTGACTGGCTAATGTTTCTCAGCAAACATTCGACTTCTCCACCTTTGTTACTGCTACTCCAATTTCACATGCGTAGTAATTCAGTTGACTAGGGATCCGTCAGTTGCTTGGCGCATTGTTAGGTAAGGTGAATACAGCTCACCAAAAGTGACCATTTTCAAGCTGTATTTGTTTTCTCCAGTACCGTCATTCAAGTGTGTTATGATCAAGACAAACACGATTCTGCCGGGCCAGACAAGTTACAGCAAGTCGAGAGCTGTTGTCAGCATCATACGGTTTACGTACATATGATGACTTTTACATTTTCGACCCCAGTAACGACCACCCGGAATACCATGTTTCCTTGAATTATTTGTGGTCATGGTAGACAGCGAATACACGCGTTAGCTTCCCATGAGCTTCAACGTATACATCTTCCGTGTCCCCAAATAAGAAACCTCAGTGCGGCCTATTATGATTTTCGCTTCCTGAATTCACTCAAAAGTAGCTCATCTTTCTGGGTTTGTTTTGCAGGTTGACCGATACACCCTGGAGAATGGCAATCATATAATAGTGCTAGCTGAGGGACGTTTGGTCAATCTGGGCTGTGCTCATGGTCATCCGAGTTTTGTTATGTCCAATTCCTTCACCAACCAGGTTTTGGCTCAGCTTGAGCTGTGGAACAATTCAGACGCATATAGCATTGGTGTGCATTTCCTCCCCAAAAAGGTTTGTCTTTTTTCGTCCATACCTTGAATCCATCCTCCTAATTTCTTGGCCTGTAGCAACTTTTGATCTTATTGTTTTTGTTACTTAGGTCTGTCCCCTTTTTATCCAGTGGCTCTAGGCTCAGGGACCATAGCGGTTGCCTTCGAAACACTGGATACATCCGAAACAAGCTAGCGTACTCTCAACAAGTGACTGGCTTCTATTGAATGTAATGGGAAGGGTGCGGACACAGTTGACCAGTTTGATTATGTCTCCCCTCCCGAAACTC